GTTCACATGCTCCTTCCTTACTTTGATAGATTCATTAGGGACCATGTGATAGTGTATAGGCCCATAAGGTGCCATTAATTGGGGTTCTAAAGTACTTTTTTCTTCTCTTGAGAGTTAACAGAACCTTGACCCTATTCCTTGCACTTTCCCACTCTTCATGGGAGAACCTTCCAAACCCAACTTGCTTCTTTTCTTCATCCTTTCAACTACATTACATTGTTTTCAACCATGAAAATCAAGTGAACAATTTTCTAACCAAGATTGGCTTCATTCATTAGAACAAAGTTTCATTAAATTTGTATAACTTCCTATACATTTTTAAAAATTTCAATAAGTCGTTGTGATTAAAAGTTTTATAGAATTTCTCATTCTTTTCAAAATTTTAATTTTGTTATTTGTTGTTTGTCAAACGGGTTCTATATCTTTCAATAAGTTTCTACAATTTTAAAATAATAATAATTAAGATTACTAAAATTATTGATGAATGAGGTCAATTGATCATTTAATATATATATATATATATATATATATATATATATATATATATGTTCCCAATATTTTTTAGGTGTGTTCAGAAAAATATTCATACGTTAATAATCGGAAGCAAATGCTTTAAGATTATAAATCTTACTAATGCTTATTTTTCTTTTTTTCTAATAAATATATGGCAATGATTTTTAATAGAGAGAATTAAATAAATAAAAAAATCCGTTTGAGATCTATTTTTGTCATGTATGATAGATCTATTATAATTTTTAATAATTATTTTAAAATTTATATATTTATAATATAATTTCTGAATATCTTAATGAATAAAAAATGCTAATACTAATAGCACATAAAAACTTGAATTCAAGGAAAAATGACTTTTTAAATAAGTTGCATATTGTGACTTGGTTAGGACTGAAAACCCTTGCTAAAACAGAAAACAATATCCAGATGATTAGGGTTAAATATTCTTAATTTTTCTTTATTTTATTGTAATTTTTTTTATCTATGATTTATTGAAATCGCGTATTTTTAGTTTTTCTTGTTTAAAATTAGAGATTAAATAATTTTTTATATCATCATTAAAATGAATTTATTTTTGAAAATAAGAATTTATTTAATCCTATTATTTATGTTCATTGTGAATAAAAACTAATTATACTGTATAAATAGTGTTGTTTAATTTTTTTACTGAAATAAATAGCCCAAAGGAAGGCTAGGGCTGAAGGATTGTTTTTCTGACGAGACAAGAGGCCTATGAATTTATGTAAACAAACTAATGCTAAAGATTTTCTCCCTACGCCCATATTTTTCTTTCTGCACCCCATAATTATATTTAATGAAAAAAAGGTACCATTTTGAAGTTCCTACCACATTCTAAAAGATGCTATGCCAAAGTATAAACATCTTCCAAAATACACATTTTATATATATATATATATATATATATATATATATATATATATATATATATATATATATATATATATATATATATATATATATCATTTTATGCAAAACTAATTTATAAATTGTTTATAAAAAAAGTCAAAAATATATTATTGACTAAAAATATGTCGTCTATCAAAATTTTATTCTTAAAAAATACCTTATTGAATTAAGGAATGAAAGTGTATATAATGTGAGACTTATGACAGTCCCACCATGGTAGGTGATAATGTTCCGTTTATGGAATAAGAACAACGTTATGTTGGCTATGATAATATCATTAAGATCAATTCTCACATTTAATATATTATCTACTTTGAAATTCTTGTCCATCACGGTTCTATCCTTGAAAGACATCTCAATAGATTAAAATAAATTACTATTGACTTTATCTTCTAAATAATATAAGACTCACCGAATATTTTGTTCCCGTTTAAAAATAATGTGATCAAAGGAAAAAATAAAATAAAATAACAGCACGTGAAAATCCTAGTCCATAAATCTTCTACTATTGGAATTGAAAGATAAAGTAACAAAAATTAAAAGATTATAAAAAAAATTACTTGAGTTTTGTTTTGTTTTGGGTGCGTGTGAGAGATGGGCTTTGTTCCTGAGCGAGAGATGACGTGAGATGCAATGGGCCTGGTCCTGGGCCTTAACTAAGGTGATGTTAAGTCCAATGGGTTGATGGACAGTCCAACCCACAGTTCAGTTCAAATGGACCGGGTCAGAAGTAGTTGGGTTGTAAAAATGGATCCTGTATAAAGTTTAATTACTATTCTACCCTGATCCCAACAAAAAAAACGTGATGAATAGGGTTGGTCTATGGTTTTTGCTCACGTTGACAATTCTAACTTTATAAACTAGAAGCTACCATTAATTTTATTTTCTTTCTAAAATAATAACTCTAATTTCTATTGAGTTTATTATGGTTGTCCAAAAACTGTAGTCAAAAGAGATTTTAAATTTCTACAAGCTATGTAAATTAATTTTAATCTATACAAAATATCTGGTTATTTTACCTCATAGATTTATTTTATGTCTTTTATATTACTTTCGTGTTAAAAAATAAATTTAAATATATTTTAGTTTTTGTACAATATTTTAATTTTGATATTATTTATACAGAAAATTTATTTGTTTTTCATCCTCCTAAAATTGAAAATCCCGTTTGAATTCCTATTATTACATTACATTCATTTACTGCTTATGTACTAAGCTAAATATTAAATAGCATTGTATGTGTTATATGAAAATTATGGAAAAAAAATAAAAATTCAGAGGGATAAAAGTATTTATTTTATAATGACTAAAACTAAAATCCAAAAATAATAATTTCAAATTAAGAATCAAAATTAAAACTTGTTAGATTAAAATATTTAACCCAAAAATTTAGTGTCGCAAACACTTGTCACAAAGTTTATCCAAAAAAAGGCCCTACCCCAAACAAGTTATAAAGAGTTACTCAGTAACTTCTAAATATAGTGCGTGGTTGATGCAAAAAATTGTTAGCGCACAGTATAATCACAGCTTCAGTGGCATTGATTGAAATGAAGATATATAATATAGCATTGATATATGTATGTACCTTGTGCTGAAGAAATTAAACATTCGAGATATATGAGCAATATATTGGAAAGTTGTTTAACTTGGAGGAAGAAAAATGGTAAATGGAGGCATATTAATTATGCATGTAGATAGCTGAGGACTAGTTGTGATGGAAAAATGTTTTGAGAATAGACATCTACCTGATTCAGTATTAACGTATACCTGAAACTTTGTTTCCTTCCATGCTCAATGCCTAACTTGTCCACTTTTGCTTGCACCACCTCACATGGAAAAACATCTATGCACACAAAAGTGGTACTTTGCTATCTCCTTTTATGAAAGCTAGCTATAGGGCACAATAAGTGTCTTCCAAATTCTTCCCCTTTGCACATTCTACATGTTAAATTTAGTTAGCAGCCACTTGTTGAATGGCCAAAACGATTAGTGTTTGTGACATTCATCTCCAGTGTTACATGAAATTGTCTATCAGCATATGCAAAAGGTATGCACCATTCTATTCTCATTATGATTCCTTAGTTCACTTCTACTACACTTGCATTTTAGGGTTTAACCTAACATATGAAATTTCTTCATATATATTGTAGGATAAAAAACACTCACACAAGGTTAGGGTGTGGTGCATATCTGTGTGTTTTTGTTGCTTTTACTTTGATCATTCTTGTGAACAAATATTCATCTGTGTGTCGGTTATTTAATGCCCAAGTACAAAAATATACTTAATTTTCATAATACTTAGTACAATAGAGAGATAATAATAGATGAGAGAGAAATTTAAGACAAAATGAATGATGTTGTGAAAAATTTGAGTGTGAATCACGATATTCTTTATTTTCTTCCATTTTTTTTCACCCTGTCTGGTTTGATCTTGTTTAAATCAAATTCTAATTAGTAGTTAATGAAACTTTTTTTTTTTCAACAACCAACATGATTAGACATGTGGACCGTGAAACTATTGAAAGTGATTTCAAACGACACTGGCTAGTGGATTGGAGATTCATGAGTGATCATTGTTGCAGAGATTGGCAATGCCAGTTATTAGTGCCTTTAAGTCTATCAGGAGAGAGGGAAACAAAGGGAAATTGTTGTCAATTAGCATCATAATGTTTTACTTAGGAGATAGATGAAATCCTTTTTTCTATAACTTGTATATAATTACACACTACACAAAATAGTAGCACACTAGCTAGGGAAACTGGCATGCATGATATATAGTAAATTTGAAATTGAATTCCTGAACACTGTCTTGATCATGGATGGAAATTTAATTTAGTGGAAACAATACCAAAACAGAAAAAGGGAAAACAAATGGAAACTGAGAAAGGGCAAAGCAAAGTGGGGTTTGGTATAGTGTGGAATTCGCAAAGGATGTGATCTGGAATGGAATCAAAATCAGCATCCCACGAAAAGACAAAGAAATCAAAGAAAGCAAAACCAAAACCAAGTTTTCTCATCAAATTCAAACTACAATTAACTGCTGCACCAAGTAGCCACTAAGCAAATCCACAACACAACTTACAAACACATGCTCGTAGACATAAAACACCAGTTTAATTGAGCAACTTACATGTTTGGTAGCACTACTTCTGAGAAATAATTAACTACTTTTTCTTAAACAAAAAACAAGTAATTACATTTCTTCTGAACTAGTTAAACCAAACATGTAAGAAGAGAAGATGATCAAAACTTTCACAATATATCACAAAAAAACAACCTTGTGAGTTGTCATTACACTGTCTTTTCTCTTTAGACACATCAACCTCAAAATCACATGGTTGCTACTCTAGAACATACATATACATATATATACATATACATATATATTATATATATATATATATATATATATATATATATATATATATATATATATACTCATACCAGTTCAGAAGTATGCTAAAACCCCAATACTTAACAGGTAAAAGCAAATTAAGTCCACAAAATATATTACAAGGGAGGAATAGTAGCATAATTGTTGAGGTGTATATAAAAAGGTCTCATGTGCCATTGGAGGGAGGTGAGGAGCACTCACACACTACTTCAGTTTCAACCTGTCTCTTGTGGAAGTTCCTGTGGCAGCCACATGCAGCACAAGTGAGAGCAGCACTTGTCCCTTCTCCACCACTTGCCATGAACTCTCTGCAACCATCAACAGCATACCCTCCAACATTTGCTGCATGATTCTTCTGGCACTCACCATACTTCACACTCCTAACACTTCTCTGGGGCTCCTCTCTTCTCACAACCACTTGGCGCTTCCTCATGTTGTTTGATTTCACCAGTTGTACTACTGCAGTACACCCTCAAAGTCTTTCTTCTCTTCTTCTTCTTCTTGAAAGCTCAAACCCTGCAAAGTTATGCCATGAAATTTTCTGAGAGGTTTGGTGAATTGAAACCAGAAACTGATTAGAAAGAAATAAGGGGTAGAGAGAGATGGAGGGTAGTACAACTTACTTGGGATGGATATGCAGAGCCCTAACCCTAGCTGTGTATTTATAAAAAGATGAACTTGATGTACTCTATCAATTAATATTAACAACTCAGTGGGACCTACTCATAAGTCATAATCACCTCTCTTTCTTTAGTGTATCTACTATTCAATCATGTAACGATTAATTAATGCAAAACCTCCATTAATTGGAGTATAAGAATATATTGGATCTTTCTGTTAAAGAAAAGAATATATTGGTCTTTAACTGTCATGCACTGTCAAGATTTTTATTGTTTTACGCTATCAAATTATTAAAAAATTATCTTTCAAATATTTTTTCAAATTATTATAAAAGCGATAAAACATGTTATATACAATCCAATAATAAAGTAATTGTATTTATTCTTTCAGTACACACTTTTAAGTGTAAGAAAAAAAAAATTGTACTATTAATAAGACTCATAAAGTTTATTACACTTTCAACTATGGCAGGCAACACATCTTTACCTTCTTTTTTTCACTACAGAAAGGATTCACTGGAAAAACTAGTCAAACAGGTTTGACAAATTTGCTACGTAATGAATTAATGTAGGTTTAATCAAGATCAGGTCTGGACCATGATTTTATTGCTTGTGTCTAGAGTGTTATTTTAGATTGTTGTGTCAGTTCATTATGAATAGAAACATTAGCAGATAGTTTGACCTTTTGTAGATTCAGAGAATTTCGCATGCTTTCTCTTGTTTTAGTAAATTTGTTTAAACTGGATCGCACCATACCTAGTTTTTATTTATTTTTTATTTGACCAGCATTAACATGATAATAAAAACATTTAATTTTCAGTTTTGTAAATCATAAAAGTAATTAAGAAAAAGCAAAGGGTATGTACTTACTGATTATGATGAAATTTGCATGCATGTAGATGTGGTTAGTGTTTAATTTGATAAAGGTTGATGTAAGTAATTAACTTAACCTGATTGAATTCATTCCGTGTGTGATTAATTATCCTTTAAGAATGAAAATGAAACGAATGCAAAAGGATTCCCACATATATGATGAAAAGCCTGAATAGTGATGGGTTTAATTTGGAAAACTTTTTGCTTTTCACCTAAATAGTGATGGGTTTACTTAGCAAAACGATAAAGATGGGTTTCATTTGGAATGACCAGCTAAGCCAGATTTAAGCCTCACACGTACCATGGCCCCTAACTTGATTGTAAAAGGCAATTTTGTGGGGTGCATTGATACGATACCAATAACATTTGTCTATAGCGCTTGACCTAAAAACGTGTGTATGATAGGTAAGCTTTGCCAAACCTGTACGACAAAAACTCACATTGATTCCTTTGTTTGCATGCATGTTCATCAACCTCTACCCATACAGGATCCATCCCTCTTTCATGTTTTCATTTATCTTAATATATCTTAACCATTCCTATTATTTCCTAACTTGTTTTGAAGCGATGAGACGTGATGAAAAAAAAATCTCCTTAATTAAGTAAGAACATATAATAAAAAAATTTCCTTCAAAACGAAATAGTAGATTAAAATCACTCATTGATTAAAAATATAATAATATTATACTATATATACGAGAACAATTCCCTAAATCTGTTTCGTAGAATTTAATTAGGTATCTTACCCTTTTTTAATATGGTATCAGAATCAATTCTAATCATGTCATGCTCAGACATGAAAATTTCCTATAGATAAAGAGAAGAGATAAAAAATCTCATATTGATTTTATTGAATTAAATTAGATATATCTTCGTTTATAAGAAATTCATTCAATATCAATCACCCGCACTTACCAACTTTTCTAAAATTCATATAAAAACTTAATCTATTATTATTTATATACTTTTAATATATTAGATTGGACATCTTAAATATAGACTGAAAACTAACTATGTAATTCAATAACAAAGGACTCAATTGGTCCGTTAACAAGTTATTTAGATAGTCTTCAATATTTCATCAACATTTTAGGTTAAAGTTGTAAAATAAGATTGTTGTCTTCTTCATCTTTAATTAGTCACTGTATATTACCATGCCAGAATCATTATTTTGGAAACCAAAGCTTCCGTTTATGGGTGGCATAAAACCTTTTAACTAGTTAAGTAACTTCAGTTTTAGATTTGTACCAAAAATTGACCAACCATTCAGCCACCTAACTTTGTTTTCTTAGACAAAAGTTAGATAGGAACGAACCCATAACGTATTATGCAAATCTTGCACTGTACCAAGTTCAATCCATATGTAAATTATATGTTTAGATACCAAATTTAATCATTTTTTTATGCCCTTTTGAGAGAATTATACATTAACAATGTTTTCACATGCTGTGATATTTATAAACAAAAAGGGTTTGTTTTGGGAATTTATTCAGCTTAATTTGTAAATGATATTAGTGATATTCTAATCTGTATTTGTTGTCAGCATACACAAGTTCTTGGTGGTTGATGATGTTTCTTATCAAACACGAATTGACACTGTTGCAATATAACAGAATTAACTATCAGTATTTTAGATTGTCACTTTTGAATATAATGTAATCATTTATGGTTTATGCTAAAAGAATTTTATGACTTTAACATTTTTTATTTTTCATGCTATAAACGCTATTGAGACATTCTTTGCAACATTTATATAGTTGGGTATAATTTATACCTGTTCATATATTTATATAAAATAACTTTTTTGCTAAAATAAGTTGTCAAGCTTAAAGATAATCTTCCACCTTTGTTTTGATCAATATTGAAAAAAAAAATTCCCACTGAACATAAATTTAAAAAAATGGTGTTTGGTATCTACTACAAAACATCATTAATGTTTAACTCATAAACCCTTACTAGCATTAAATCATAAGTAACATTTGTTTTGATGAAAAAATAATTCTAAAAATGATATAATAAAAGTAACCATAATTAATTTTAATATGAAAGACATTTTTTTCACATAAAAAAAATACTGAGTTAACAATATTCTAATCAAACACTTAAATAATATATTTATAAGAAAAATTATTCAAATAGAATAATTGTGAATTTATTTATTCAAATACACCTATTTATAATTGATTAATATGTAGAATTCAATTTTCGAATTAAAATTGTTTGAGATAAAGTAATTATTATTTTTTATTAATTTTTATCTTATTCTTTTAATTTAAATATTACATTTAAATTTGATAAAAATATATTAAAATAATTTATGTTAAAAATATATGGAAATTCAAATAATATAATAAAAAAGTAATTTATGTTTTATTAAGAAACCTATATTGTTTGATTTTTAAATTCATAATATGTTATGGGAAAATAATTTTTACCGAAACTAATGAAATTAACTAAATTTAATATATATAATTAGTTGTTTTTTAATATTTTACAATAATATCACAAATAATAATAAATAAATAGATTTTAGTTATAATAAGTAAATTATTTATACCTAACATATTTGATATTTTTTAATTAGACGAGTAATTAATTTTTTATGATAAAATAATTTTAAATTAATTATTTACTGTTATCATAATTTCAAATAATTAATTTATATTTTTTTTAGTTTTAATAAGATGAAAGTGAAAGGGAGGAAAGAAAAAGAAAATAAGATTGAACAAGGAGAGAGAGAAAAATTAAAGATGAGTGAGGAAAGAGAGAACAATAATTATTTTATTTTAAGAAATTTTGATCTATAATCTAATTTTATGTATAAAAAATAAATTGGTAGATAAAAAATTTAAAAAATATTAGATAATATTCTATTTTCATTCATCCGAGTTAGTAAGAAAATAAATAAATAAAATATATATATTTAAAGAGAGAAAAATATAAATAATTTCAAATTTTTACTTTTTTTAATATAATTTTTTTGTATTTTAATTAATCAAATTATTTTATAAATTTATAAAATTTCAATATTTTATAAAAATAACATATTTTTTCATATTTTATTTCATTTTTTTATAAACCTTTTAAAAAATAAGAATTTGATAATTAATGATATAATATATACAACCTATTATATTAAGATAATAACAATATAATACGAGTTGTATATCATCGCCCAAAAATTAATTATTTTCTAATATTTTTTTTACACAATTATATATATATATAATTTTATTTTTCCTCACGTGGCAAACACAAGTACTCAGATTCGGATATTTTAGGATATTTAACAATGTTCCAATATAGGGTTTAAGGTTTAGCAATGTTGTAATTAGTAATAAAAATATAACTACTTTGTGCGTTCATTTTATTTATTTAGGATTTTCGCTTCCTAACCTAATTAAGTAATACATATGTGAAGTTGTGAACCTTACACGGAGGTTCATATAACTTATTAATATTTTTAATAATACAAAATATTTATTAATTATATAGATAATTAATTTCTGTAAAAAATCCAATTGATTGCCATTTTTTAATAAAATGTTAACAGTTATTTGTTTATTCATAATAACAAATTTTGTTTATATGCAACATAAAAAGTACTATAATTCGTAATAACAAATTATCTTTTCTTTTTTAAATTTTATTACATGAATATCACATTAGATTATTGTCCCTTTTTGTCAATAATTTAAAGAATTTATTTTAAAAAAATTAACACTATTAAAAGAACTTTTATTTACTTTTTATTGATGTAATTTTTTTCCAAGAACAAACTTAGATTGATGTCAAAGATTTTAAGAGTTTAAAGTGTCTAACTTTCACTTATATAAAAATTATTTTTCGAAACCTTATTTCAACTATTTACTTGCATTGTCAATAACGATATTAAAGTAATAAATTTATTAACGAAGAGCGATCAAAAGAGTTAAAACTCATAAAAAGTTATCATATACTTTCTCCAAATTCAAAGATAAACAAAAGAATTATTTTTTCTATTACCAAAAAAATATTAGTTAATATCATTTAATTCTACTAACTGTATTCGAAAATACTTTTCCTTTGAAGTATATTTGCTTAAGACTTGATATTAAAAATAAAATTTTCATTCAAATATTATCTTAATTAATTGAAGAATGTTTTTAAAACGATATTATTAAATAGGGTAAAAATATTTAAAATTTATTTATATTTGAGTTCACAATTACTTTTATTCTTTATAATTGAGCATAATAGAGTCTTATTAAATTAAGAAAAAGGGTGGTTTGTTTAAGAAAGGGACAACATTATACTAACAATTTTTAAGTTGCGTTTGAGCCTCTTAATTAGTAGAATTTTCTCATTAGTTATTAAATTTTTTCCTCCAAATAAAATACTCAAATATTATTTTAATTTTTCCTCGTTTTTTTCTTTAAAAATTTACGAAAAACATTAAAACACAATACATCTAAACATCCAAAATCAGTTTACAGCTGCCGACAGATAATTGTTTTGTTAATATTTTTAAATATTAACATTTCTATATAATTAAGTTAATTTATTTGTTATGAAAATAAATATTTTACTGGAGTTGGGCCTTTTCTATTACTTGGTTACTTATATTTGGTCGTTTTTTTTTTGTCTTGTTTTTTTTTTCTTTCCACTTTGTCTTTTTGGTAGTCTTAGAAATACGTCTTTTAGTTATTAATAATATTTATATAGGAAGAAGTTTTCAGATAGGTCTATTTTTCACATATTTTCTTTCTTTGTTCTATATAAATTATTCGGTTAGTTAAAAGCGTGTTAGTTTTGTTATCCTGAATAAAAAAATTTGTAGAATTTAATTAAAATTTTGTTAGTTATAATATATAAGTAAGTATAATCATCACTTTATTGAATTTATAAGATTAAGTTAATTATTTCATAATTTCTAAAATAGTATTATATTCAACTTTACTATATTATAGAACATAAAAATCCTTCACATTAATTAGATATATTATATAATATATAAATGAGTATAATTTTTACCTGAATTAGTAGGATTGAGTTAAATCTGTTTTACCAATTATAATATTACTTGTATATTACATGGATAAAAACCTCTAACAATCTAAATTTACATATTTATAATTGATTGTTTATCGTATGAACAAAAAAAAAACAAAAATTGAATGAGAAAACTAATGGAGTAAAGAATAAATATATTTTATGAGGAGAAATCAAACAAATTAGGTGTGTATAAAAGTAGATGGTGTTAAGGTGCATATGTAAAAATAATTAAAAAGAGGGGCACGTTTGAGTATATATATATATGCTGTGTTTCTTTAAATATAGTCTTCTCATTCGTAGAAGAAAGAAGAAAAAGTGATGATTATGTTCTTAGGTAAGAGTAGGTTGATGAAAAGAATAATAATATAAAATGTAATATAGTAAGACAAAAATTCCTAATGTTTTAACAGAGTGTGATCTAGGGTTAGGTAATGCT